CCGAAAACTTTCACACGCAAAAACCGAACAAAAGTGTCAAATGTCAACAAATATTACAAATAACGTTTGGCAACATTGTAAAAAAAATTCCGAATCTGCCAACTTATTCTCCCAAAAAGTAACTAAATAATAATGAATATAAATCCGTCAAATCTTGATTTAAATTGGCATGCCATTTTCTTCTGTTGATGACGTGCAACGCTATTTATAGCGAAAACCCTATATGAACATTACCAACCCAATTCGAGCAGACAGTGTCACTTGGTACATTGACTCTGGAGCAACGGATCACATGGTGAATGACTTTTCTCTCTTATCAAATGTAAGTAGACTTAAAAATAATATAAATGTCAATGTAGCTAAAGCTGATGAATCATTAAAATGTACTCACACAGGAAATATTAATGTATTTTTGCAAACAGGTCAATTAGCTAAAATTAAAAATGTCTTGTACGTTAAAAATTTAAGACACAATTTACTTTTCTGTAAAAAAATTGGAAAAAGCAGGATTAGAAATAACTTTCAAAAGAGGGAATGTTTACATTTATAAAAATAATAAATTGATAGCTAGTGGAAATAAAAATGAGAATTTGTATGAAATTAAGTTTAACTTAAATAACAGAGAAACAAATTTATGCGAAAAAAATTCAAATTATAATCTGTGGCACAGCAGATTAGGCCATTTGTCGATTCAAAACATCATGAAACTAGTAAATAATAGAATGGTTTTAGGTATAAACTTAAAAAATAATGTGAATACAGACAAATATGAAATATGCCTACAAAGCAAAAGCAAGAGGTTACCTTTTTCAAAAAATGTCACCAAAAGAAGTAATAGGGTATTAGAATTGATACATAGCGATGTGTGTGGACCTATAGGTAAATCCACCCACATTAGACAACAAAAAATATTTTGTAACTTTCATTGACGATTATACTCATTTTGTGATAGTATACTTAATTGAAAGCAAAAGTCAAGTGTTTGAATGCTTTAAAAATTATGAAGCGATGGTCACTAGCCAGTTTAATAAAAATATTTCAACATTACGTTGTGATAACGGTGGTGAATATTCATCTGAGTTTGTAAGTTTCTGCACTTCCAAAGGAATCAAGAATCATTTTACAGTACCATATAACCCTGAACTCAACGGAACAGCTGAGAGGTTCAATCGTACACTACTGGGAAAAAGCAAGAGCGATGATTCTAGAATCTAATTTGCCAAAGGAAATGTGGGGCGAGGCTATTCTTTGTGCTACCTACGTAACAAACAGAAGTCCAACAGCAGCCATTGAAAGTCACATAACACTCTCAGAATTGTTCTACGGCAAGAAACCTGATCTAAAGAATCTGAAAATTTTTGGAAGTCTAGCATACAATCATATACCTGGTGAAAAACAAAAAGGAAAATTCGACGCGAAAGCAGATATAAATGTTATGGTCGGCTATACTCCAAATGGCTACCGTTTATGGGATCTTTCAAAACAAAGAGTTATTACTGCGAGAAATGTTGTATTTGATGAATCTAGAACCATAGCAGATTATAATAAAAATAATTACCTACAAGGAACCAGGATTGAAAAGCGACATAGAACATAAACTTCAATTAGAAGAAAATGAGAATTCGGATGAAGTACAAAAAGACGAGAAAGTAAACGAAGTTTTGGAAAAAGAAGACAAAACCCAAGAAAGAGATAACGAATTTCATACTGTCGACATGAGAAGAAGTAGTAGGAAGCTAAGGAAACCACAATATTTAAACGATTATCTTGACCAGCATGAAATCGAACATTTAGCATTAAATGCTGAAGCATTTGTGGATTAGATGCCATTAACCTATGAAGAAACCAAAGGGAGATCTGATCACCTACATGCTATGGAAGAAAGCGATTGAAGAGGAAATCATGGATAGCAGTAGACAAACCTAACAACGCAAGAATTATAGACACTAAATGGGTGTTCAAAATAAAAAGAGACCATCAAGAAGGAAATATGAAGAAATATAAAGCGAGACTTGTTGCAAAAGGTTTCATGCAAAAAGAAGGACTAGACTTCAAAGAAACCTTTGCACCGGTCGCCCGATATGTTACAGTAAGGACATTAATAGCAATAGCTAATCAGAAAAATCTTATAATTGAACAAATGGATGTAAAATCCGCATTTCTGCATGGAAAAATCGATGAAGACATTTATATCACAGTGATCTTCTTCATCGTTTCAACATGTTTGACTGCAAAGAAAATAGAATTCCGATGAATCCAAGGTCAACCATAAATTCCAACCTAGAAAAATTAACACTCGGATTAACAGAAAACAAACCAATTCGTGAACTAGTTGGGAGCATCATGTACTTAATGCTTGGAACTCGACCTGACCTAAGTATAGCCATAAATCAATGTAGCAGATTTCAAGACAAACCTTCAGAAGAACTATGGAAATGCTTAAAAGGGATACTGATATATTAAAGGAAGTATGAACTATGCACTCTTTTTCCCTAATAATGATGAAGAAAAACTACTTGGATTTGCTGACTCTGATTGGGCAGGAGACGAAATTGATCGGAAATCGACTTCAGGATACCTATTTAAAGTATTTGGGAGCACGGTTTGTTGGAATACCAAGAAGCAAAGCTGTGTAGCTGTTTCATCAACCGAAGCTGAATATGTCGCTTTAGCTGAAGCAGCAAAAGAAGGCTTGTGGTTATTAAATTTACTGACTGACTTTGGCTATCCTAAATCAACATGTAAAATTTTTGAGGACAATCAGTCGTGTATAAAACTTACAACTAAATTTGAACATAAACGTTTAAAGCATGTAGATGTGAAATTTAATTTTCTAAAAGATTTGGTTTATAATAAAACAATAAATATTGAATATATACCGACTAGTGAGCAGACTGCTGATATATTAACTAAAAACTTGACTTTTGAATTATTTAAGAAACACAGATTTGGACTAGGCTTAAGAGAACTGTAATAATAGTAACCTTGTATTTTTTTATAAGTTTGTTAATCAATAATAGGAAATGTTGAATTGAGGGCGGGTGTTGAATGCAATCAACATTTCATAGATATTTTTAGTTTTAACGTTGGCACTACATATGTAATATGTTACTGTCGTCTGTCAATATTTTCTTAACGTGTGTTTAATAAATTTACCATGCATATTTAACGACTGTACATTATTAAAATACGGACGTTCTAATTCAAACCATTTAATTAATGCCCTTTAAAAAAGTCCGCATATATTTTCGTCAATCTCCTTTCGGTTTCTGAGCGTTTGCAAGAATTGGTCAGAGAACACAATTTTTACAACTCTAATTATTAATAATTCAAAAATCGGACGATATTACACAACATACAAACCAAAAAAATCATATTTACCAATCAAAATAATAATATTGACCACGCAATCTGTCAAATGACGGGTTTTCAGTATTATAAAATTATTCAGTTTTAACATTTCTGACGTTAATTCAGTGCGCCACTGGTTGCTGGTAAGCGACTTCTGTTGGTCCAACTCCATCTATACGTATTGGTCCACATTAAAACCGGTGCTCAGTCTATTGTATTTGGTCTATGCATAGAATTACCAACCACTTTAGAATAAGCCAACGCTATCTTGTTATACACTGATGTTTGTCGCCAACATAAAACGCAATGTTTGCAAACAAATCGTGTTTATTATCACTCGTCATAGGCGGCGTGCGTTAAGTGGTCAAATGGGCACATACACAGACAGTAGCGCCGTCAACATAAAAACCGTTAAGAAAGAAGGGGCAATTTACTTCACGTCTTATCATAACCGATGATATTAATCATTTTCAAGTAACAAATATGCAGTAACCTCGATTTAAACGTCGTAAACTATTGGTTTCGACGGTAATTCTATGGGTTTGACACCAGGCAATGTATATAAGTTTTGAAAACATTTTCTTATGATTAATTCTTTCATACTGTTCAGTCGATTCTGATTTCGAGTAGTTTTGAGCTCGGTAAACAAGCTACTATAACATCATTAGATCATATAAGTGTAACCAAGCAACACGTACCAAACTGTTATTTCTGATGCAATAAACGTCAAATCAGTTTATTTTAAAACTGAATGATAGGCTTCAGGTTTAATTTATAAGATTAAGAAAATAATTTATTACACACTCTAGTACAATGATACTAATTAATTATTAACTACTACTTAAACACTATTCTCCTAACTATAATTACAAAATCATAACATAAATAATACATAAAAACATACATCATTATTATTGATTGAAAAATAATATTTTCTTTGTTAAAAGAGATCTAACTCTACCTTCCTTTTCTCGTAACTTTGCTTCTTGATGAAGCCTTACTGTAAAAATTTTTTTAAAAATTAATTTAATTAATTGGCTGGCATGACCATCAATAGTATCATCAAATAAATGGGCATTAAAATGAGCATATTGTTGTAAATAAGTTAAGCTTAGATAAGAATCCAACTTAAGTTTTAATGTCAATATTAACAATAATAATGTAATGTTTACAACTCGGCCATTTTGTATATCAGCCGTGCCAACCTAAGAACAAGTAAACTTAGGTGTAACACATATATACAGGGTAAGTAGTAGAAGATATATTACATCCCTCCCCTCATAGAAAGCAAAAAAAAAACTAAGGAGAGTAGCGAATAACTGGACGGCGGATGCGCTTCTCACGAGCCGACCGAGGCGGAGTAGACTGAGCTGCGAAGCTTGGAGGCGGTCGATCTGACACAGGAGCCCGCGGAGTTTCAGCAATACCCGTCCGCACTGGAGTTGACTGCTCAGGCTGGTCCGGCGGAGATTGAGCAGGACCGGATGCTGCAGGCGTCGCAACAGGAACCGAAATCGCAGGAGTAATAGACGGCGTTACTGCTAGAGTCATTGGCACATCTTGTCCCACCTTCTTGAGTTGGTCCACATGTTTGCGATTTAGTTCGCCATCCACCATCACTGTATAGGAGAGTTCCCCATCTCTTGATATCACGTATCCCAACTTCCATTTACGTAAGGGTTCATCCTTGACTGCGACTTTAGATCCCTCAGGAAGACTGGGTCATGGTATTCGTACGACAATTGAGCGCGTTTCTCAATTGTAGGGGATACACTGGGATTTGTCAGTAAACTTAGCGGCGTATTCACTTCGCGTTTAAGGAACGCCATTGCTGGACTTACGCCCGTAGTAGGATGTGGGCCACGCCGGTATGCTGCTAGGAATGTACGTAATTTCTCTGGAGCATTACCCTCATTGAGGTTGAGCGTACGCAGGCACAGTTTCATTGCTGATACCATCCGCTCTGCAAGTCCATTGGTGGCGCAATGGTACGGTGCGATAGTCCTATGCTTAATGCCACGTTTCTGTAGAAATTCTTGTATCACGGCACTCACAAATGTAGATTGATTGTCCGTAACTAGGTACGAGGGTAGTCCGTATGACGCGAACAAATCGTCCAATACATTTATCACTGTAGACGCAAGCATGTTTGGTACAATTTTTATCTCAGGCTATTTTGAATGGGCATCAACAATTATGAGATAAGTGTTCTTACCATAAAACGCAAAATCGTCATGTATGCATTCCCACGGTTCCTTGGGGTGTTCCCAATAATGAGTTTGCAATGAAGGTGAGCGGCCCTTATGCAGGCTGCATGCGTGACAATTTCGGCACAAATGTTCAATGTCTGCATGCATTTTGCATTTTAGGCCAAAATGCATAGCCTCGCGCCAACGCCTTCGTTTTCGAAATTCCTAGATGTCCCGTATGAAGTTCTTCAAGCACAGCAGGGCGACAGGCACTAGGTATGTAGGTACGCAAGCCCCTCATGACACAACCCGACTGCAATGAGTAGAGTCCATCTTCATTTTCACCAAGTGTCTCGCCCGAGCGGAGTTTCTGTAGCCACTCACGCCATTGAATGTCTCGCTGAGTATGCTGCGCAATGGATTGGTGAGTCATCGGCAGTAGTGAGATGTGGTGAAGCTGTACTAGATCATCTGGATCATCTGAGGTAGGAGCCTGACGTAAATCTGACGAGTGTTGTGGTAAACGACTCAGGAAATCAGCGTTGCCGTGCTCTTCAGATTTGCGATATTTGATGGTGAATGAAAAATCTTGTAGAAAAATTGCGTAGTGTAACAATCTAGTAGCACACAAAGTTGGTAATTTCTTTCTGCGTACGCCGAATATGTGAACAAGTGGGGCATGGTCAGTTATGAGAGTGAATTGCCTGCCCACAAGATAGATATTCAGCTTTTCAACGGCCCATTTGATGGCCAATGATTCCTTATCAATTTGTGAGTATTTCACTTGACATTTGTCCAACTTTCTGTGGATGTATAAAATTGGACGCTCGGAACCATCTGGATACTGGTGAGCGAGAACAGCTCCTAAGCCTTCAGGACTGGCATCGCAGCTAAGCACAATCGGAAGCTGTGGGTTGTATGACACTAACACATGGTCCGAAGTTAACTGCTGCTTCAACGTTTGAAATGCTGTAGCACATTCACGTGTCCATTTCCAGGGAACTGCTTGCTTCGTTGCATTGTATAATGGAGCGGCTGTAGGGGCCATACCAGGAACGAATTTTGAATAGAACGACACCATTCCCAGGAACTTCTTCAATTCACTCACATTTGCAGGTGGTGGCAGCTCTTGAATGGCCTGTAATCCATCTTTAGCAGGACGGATGCCAGCTGCTGATATTTCATGTCCCAGGTATGTGACAGAGTCCACGAAGAAAGAACACTTCTGCAAGTTCAGGCGTGGACCGTTGGCTTGCAAGCGTCGTAAAACTTCTGATAGGCGTGATTTCAGAGTGATGACGTCATTAGCAGACACCACTAAGTCAT